AAATCATCGAACAGGATGGGATGGTTTGTGATAAGAGTGTTTTCCAGTTTCACGAAGCCTGTCAAAGACGTCGTGAATTGAAAAGAAAAGCTATCGAAGAGAACGACACATGTCCATATAGATTCGACAGTTCTGTATCTGTTTTGAGTCAAACATTCATCATCAGGTCAAACCATCAGAACAGACGTGGTCTTAATTTAAAACATAATTCTATAAGAACCGAAAATTATGCAGCGGAAGCTACAGTAGCATCCTCATCGGTATCATCGAATTCATTTTGCCAGAAAAGTGATAAAATAAAGGGAACCATTACCCTATGCGGACCCAACGAGATGTGTAAACGAACGCTGGGAGTAGAGCGGAATATCCGAGCGGATGAATCATTTGTCAGAGTTCACGTGTTTCCTGGAAACCTGACCAGAAGGAATATTTTGTCGTTTATAGCATTAATCTTTGATCCCGGAGGAGGTATATGGAAACATATTATAAAGTCAACGAGAAGGAAGCCACAACATGGAGACTCACCGTTAGTAAACAATACTAGTTTGCTGAGAAATCTTTGGGTGGAAGCTATAGTTAGAGAAGTCAATTATGGTCCCGATGGCCGATTCAGAACGATTCGATTGAAGAGACACCGTAGACATCAACCGAGATATACGAAACCTATGCCTAATGGAAGAGGTCGATTATTCGAGCGCGACGGCAACGAGGTCTGGACGTGGTGACCGCTTCGGGGGGAGTGTTAGTTATTTTATAACTAATTGTAGTTATGTCATAACTAACCAATCAGATTGGTTAAGCGCTCACCACGTCATCTAGTCTGACCGGTCTATGGACTTTCTTGTTGTGAACGGCCTATCGATTGAAGGATGTTATTATTTTATTTTATATAGATGTGACTCATGTTATTTTTGTTCATTTTCTAAAGACACGCTATACTGTCCGGTACGTTTGCTCATCCTGCTTGATAATTGTAATTTCCTTATTTATTGTACTAAATTAATCGTTTTCTTTTGTTTAGAAACAGATAAAGTTTAATACCGAATTGTCTTCTGTTAACTATAGTTTCACTCTGGACTCTGTCATCGGCAGTATTTGCGTTTACGTCTTAGAATTACATCTGTAGGACAAATTAAATCCTACAATATTACTGCGTTACTTCTTCAAGTATTCAAATAATTGATATTCTATCCCTCTTATAACACAGTGATTCCAATTCCAGTGAGTATAAGGGATCCAAAATCAATATGGCTGTCGCCATAACTGAGTATCAGCTTAAACAACATAATGCAGTTCGGAAAGAAAAACAGAAACTCATTAAAGGCAGGGGAAGTAGAAACTATAATAAAATACAAATATTATCATCCCAAAACAGAACTGAACAGATTACTAAAATGTAGAACTGAAAGAATCAATAAGGACATATTACAAATGTATACATGGAGGGATTTTCACAAACAAAGCCCTTCAGAATTGTTCCTACAACAAGTACTAGGTGGGGTTGGCAGATAAATACATGACATATTAAACATCATAAGTTGAGGTAGTTGCGACATATGTTACGAATGCCGACTCACCGACTACCTCGACGAGCTTTTTTGTGGTGTGGGAGTAGGTCGGAAGGAAGGCAGTGGCGGCGATAGCAATCCATGGCACAAGTCTATGAAGTCACTGACAGGTGGACTGAGTCATGTTGGTAGATGTAGGCTATCTGGTTGGGGTCCACGAGACGAAAGTCACCGATGGTTAGAGACCTTGAATGACATAGTTCAAAATCGTTTGCAATTGCACAGGTGCATCCACTCTTTGTGTTCTATGAAATTCTAATCTTCTGAATGCTTCATCAATCTCCTTCTAAATTTATCTCACTGAATTATACCTCTTGAAAAATATCTTCGAACCCTAATCTTCTCCATTAGCAGTAATACTTCTACCATCTCTACTATTATGAGATTTGTATTGACAATTGAGTCTCTGTGCTAATGTGGATTGACAGATCGTTCTCGATTCGGTGGATGGTGGTGCATGGCCGTCCTTAGTCGGTGTAGCGATCTATCTGGTTAATTACAATAACGAACGAGACTTTAACGTCCCAACATGTGTCTATATTCTATGACCTGACGTAGTGTGAATATTTGGTCTATACATCCACGTCGAGGTCGGAAACCAGCCTGATTTTCCCTAGCCTGCTCTTCTCACGTTCTAGTTAGTCGTCGGAGTATTATTGAGGCCAATATTTTCGACACTATATTAGTTAAACTGGTTCTTCTGTGATTGTCACAAGAGGATTTCTGTCCTTTCTTATAGACTGGGACAATCAGTGATTGAGACCAGTCAGATGGGATTAAGCCTAGTTCCAAAATTCTACCTAAAATTTCAGTCAATCTAACTTCTAAAACTGCACCTTTATCCATTAAATCTCAGATGTATGCCTGTCTGTCCGTAACAGAAAAAAAAAGACCAAATAGGTCACAACATCCTTCAAATATATATCTGGTAAATGATCACTATACTGAGAAACGTATGATCTATGCTGGCCAATTGTTGAAAGAGGATACGTAATAAAACGTCCCTGACGGGGACTTTTTCACCGCTATAGATGTATGACTATTTGACTCTGAAAACCCCATCAATTCTGCGTTTTCCGTAATAATGTAAGTCATGTAGTAATTCATTGTGTCTGGAACTGGTCATCTGATAATGATTAAAATATAGGCAACAACATATTTTAAAGTTGTCTGTGGGCTAATATGACAGTTTACTCATATTAGGTCAAATATTTGATGCATGCCGAACCTTTTTCTGAGTGTTCGTTATTGACACGATAATGAATTCTTAATCAAACTCATTGCATTTTATCATCTGAACACTTGGAGAACGATCCATTCACAGAAAATTATTTGGTCTTTTATGGGAGGTGAAAATCTCAATAAGAAGTCAAACAAACCTCTGGAACTCAGCATTACTACATGAGCCATCAGTTAGATTGATAACTTGTTCACAAAATATTTTAGTACCACACACATGGGCAAACATTTGCTTATTCTGACTTGGAGTAAACACTGAATTTTTCTAGAGTAACTTGAGGAAAATTTTGAAAGATAAGACTTCATATACTACTCGGTGTACACAGGTTTGAGAAAGACAAAAAACTGCATAGTCCCAAGCTTTGCGTATGAAGATCACTGTGCTAGAGTGATTAAAAAAAGTGTGCCATTTGACTTAGTTTGTTGTCGTGAATTCTTTTTTACACCATAAATATACAGAATGATCGAAATATAGGTCATTTGCACAACTGAACACTTGAAACAAGGTCAAATAACATAACCATACACAAGACTATTAGCTGATTTTATAGTCTTGTTGCTATTAATAGGCTTAATTTTACACAGTTAAATAATATGGATTATGATATTATTATTTATTATGGATATTATTTAAGATGAGACTTAATGATTATTACAAATATTTTATTGACTCTGTTGACTTATAAATAGTTGATATTATCATACTGTGTCGTAGCATCGATAAACGCTCATTTACTTTGTATCGTACGTTGTTAATATCTGAATTATACAGTTAATTGGTCAATTGAACTATGGAAGCAACTATTCATCTGATATATAATTAGAGATGCAAATTTTTCAGTATCTATAAATTTATGTATATTATCTGGAATAAATCAGTTCAGATATTTACTCCAACACGTAAATTTTATATCAAATTAGAATAAATAACACTGTAAATCAGTCTTATAGCAAAATTTTCTTTATTTAATAATGAGAAGCATAAAAAAACCCTGGAAAAACAGATGGAAACGGTCCCATTGCGTTTAAATAACACCATGTTTTGATTAACTAAAGAAAAAATTCTAGCGAGAAAAAGAGTGCTGCACAAATTAGTCTCATCGAAATGATAATTAAAATACCAACAACATTATAACGCTATCGCAAGCATAATTCAGAAATAAGGTCAAAATAATAAGTTTTATTTTTGGCCGATAAACTAAACTGACAGCGTTTCAGAATTGAAATTTACATTGTTTGCATAAAATGCAATCTTTTACCAACATCTATTCAAATTATACAATGAATAATAAAGATACGGTCTTAGAGCTTATAACGTATTATCTATTGTATGGGATTTGAAATATATATGGATTGAGTGATATCAATCCCCAAACACACACCTACAAGTATATACGTCGTTCTGTGTAGGTGGAACAGATGCAATTTTATTATTAAAGGAAGTAATACCACGATTTTACGGCGAGGTTATTGAAAAATGAAAATTAAATCGATGATATAGAAAAAAATAAGACAAAAATAAAACAGTTATGTATTACTACGATTGGTAATTTTAAAAATTGTGTTATAACTTCCGATGGCTAACCACCAAATTAACAGACTGAACTCCAATATATATACAATATATAAAATCCTAAATAGCTTGAAACACTACGACATTTCATGGTTTTAACTTAACAATTTCATTTTCTTATTCGCGAAGGATTCTATTCACTGAGATGACTTCATAGTAGGAAGTCAAATAGTAATCAAACTTGAAGTAAGATTCAACGAAACCTTCAAGTAAACACGAAATGACCTAATTCAAGCAACAGTTAAAAACCATGCAGTACTGAAGAGCTATTTCGTCATCACTTAGGATTCAGCCGAAGTGGGCATACACGATATTACCAGTGGTCGGATTGACGACACTCAATTTTCATGGTGGGCTCTTAAACTTCAGAACACGAGGACCGAATCTAGAACTTGACAAGTATGGCTTTAATTAACTCGCTAGATTGCGAGACCATTTTTCTTGTATTCAATAGTTGTTTAACTAAGTCAGTTCGTGATCACAATAACACTGAACCATCTTCATCAATCATTCATCATAATAGAATTAAACTAATTTTCTGTGCAATATATTAGAATAATTTTTATTTCTTTCCATCAAACGTTATTTAATGAATTTATTTCATTGAATATAAAGAGTGTATCAGTTGGAATAGTCAATAAAATTAAAAAAAAACACAGAAGACCGGAAATCATTTCCAACAAATTGAAATTATATATATATATATATATATATATATATATATATATATATATATATTGATAAATGATATTCCTATTTGTGAAACTGAAATTATAAGCAGAAATATAATCTTTGCACATGCATTGTTGGTATCATAGAAAATTTATTAAGAATGTATGCACCAATAGAAAAGTGAGGAAATAAAAACATGAATACAAACTCATCATATAATGATATACATTGGACAGATATATGTATAAACTTGTTCAATGCAAGTTGTTAAATCGATAGATATAATTTAAGAAAATTAAAACTTGTGTGCAAAATAAAGGATAAAGTAGAACAAGAGAGACGACAATACAAATATTGACATCGTTTGTTTTTGTTAGAAGGAGAGAGAGAGAAAGAAAAGATAAAAGAATCATGTATATTTGAAGAATAACGAAAAGACAATGAGATTCTGTGCTGAAACAATGCAAATTCCACCGAGTAAATATGAACACTTCATCATACCGAAAGAAATAAGATGAGACAAGTTATTTCATAAATATACACAGACAATAATCAAATAATTTTGATTTGATTCACAAGTGTTGTTGGTGTTAACGAGTAATACTGAACACTTTAATATGAAGACATGATGCGATTTCATTTACCTGGAGTTTAAAGAACAAAAAAGAAACAATGGAAAAAAGAAATGTATTACATATGAGTATAATCATTAGTGATCAGAGAAAAACTAACCATTAAGCATACACTACTGGAAATAGCGGATTTATCAAAAAATCTAACATTCTTAGTTTGAACACATTGAATGCACTAAAATGTTATGAACAAATGTTTTGTTAGAAAACCGATAGAATATCAAGGTCAATAGATCATATGCAGCGGATAAGAGTGGTGGCTGTTCATGAGACTGAGTTATTGACTTAAGACTGAATGATTTGAAATCAGAAGGAAGACAGAAACACGTTTCTATGCCAGAAAATGATATGCCTTGAAGCGAAATTCTAACAGGAAATAAAGATAAATTGTCATAAGCCATTAGAGGATCAAATCTCACTTCAAGCAAGTTCTATAATGTGGTTATTTGTCCAAATGACTCGACGTCCAGTGCTGTATGTTTCGAAGCCTTAGATGATTGAGGGTAATGAACTCCTAGTGGAGTCCGGACGAAATAAGGGAAAAGGATTGGTGCTTACCAACTAACAGGAAATCTTGGTTTAGGGTTTTGCATGAATTATTTCCAAGCATCCAACATTTCTAGTGTATTGTCAGTGTTACAAGTTAAAAGTCTAGTTGCTGATACAATACTGTATTATGTTGTTAACGTGGCTAACTTTAAGATTTGGACACAGTAAACATAAAGTGAGTTTATATTACATCTTAATACGTTGCAACTGACTGACAACTATATTACATATTATACATCGTTATCAAACAGTTAATTTGATGACCGATTGAATTCGATCTAATTTTCAATAGTACAAACAATGAGAAGTGAAAGGCTGATTACGATAATGAAGTACAAAGTTTTTTTTTTAAAAAAATTATTTACCACGAAACAAGTACAGTTATTATTGATACATAAACAAGATTGTATACAAAATAATAATAAGGTTAATTTACAATGAAAATAACTGTCCAATCTTATTGACCATTTTTGTTCCAATAATTAATATAATGCTAACAAGGAATAAGTTAGTCTATAGGGAATAGTTAAGATGAACTATATTTTAGTGAAATAGAATAGAAACTCTTCTAGCGACCATTGTTGTAGTTAGCGAATTATGATGCTAGCGAAAATCTCGATAAGCAAGAAGTATTATTAACTTTTACTCAAATAATGAATGTAGTTCAGACTTAACTCACTAAATCTACATATCTGTGTAACACATCGAAGCATGATTAGTATTAGATCAGCTGAACATACCACCAGTAGGATATGTTCGGACAATAGAACACAATTAGTTTCAATCAGGAAACATTGATTTCCGATAAACAAATAGCTTATTTAAAATATAAAGCATAATTCTAAACTTGTGTCAATTATATTTTTAAAGAAAAAGTCCAAATTGTTAAGTAAATAACATTATATCATAAATGACCTGGTAATGTTATTATTGTTTCAATTAGCCGTGCACTTTTAAAATACTTGGACAATTTATTTTCCATCCTTATGCATATTTGATGTGCTTAAATTAGTGTCTTTATGTAATGAACTTAGAATATGTTGTCATCATTTAGAGACCGAAGAGGTAAACTCAGTGGAGATTTGGTTCATTTCAAATATTCAATCAATCAATAGCAACGTAGAATTTCGTACGTACGTATGTCAGTTCATGTTGCCATACCACATTAGCACAGAGATGTAATTGTCAATTCAAATACAATAGTAGTAAAGATAGTAAAGGTATTAGAAGTAGTCAAATATTTATTCAATAAGATTTATTAAAGCAGTTAGCAATGTTAATGTTACACTACTACTACTACTACTACTACTACTACTACTACTACTACTACTACTACTACTACTACTACTACTACTACAGCTTAAAGGTGTAGTTTGTTTAAATTTTCAAATATACAACATTATTCATAGATATCAACCGAAATAAAGGATACTGAAGAGAGTCGATTCTTATTAGCAGTGATAATATGTCAGTGTTAAAAAATAAAAAAAAGTACTAACCACTTGATAACCATAGTAAATATGATCCAGTGTAACGAAACTTGTTATTAAACAGAGGATGGTACATTCAATAGATGTAACTTTATTTGTTGGAAGAATAAAACAAACAACAAGGGTAATTATTGAAAATAAATAAACTTCTTTATTGTGGATTGGAGCTTGGACATGACATAATTGCGCAACAATCAGTTGACACTGTAAAAATAAATAAATAAAAAAAATTAATTTTAAGGCAAAACAATGAATGATATGCTAAAATAATACAAATTATAATAACAGTAAAACCACAATCGAATTAGTCTAAACTGATATCACTTGTTTATGACAATTAATAATAACAGTCTACAATGGATTGAATAAGCATGAAACATTTTTCTTTGTATAACGTATGACATAGAATGTTAAAAGAAAAAAAAAGATTTTCGGAAATAAACTTAATTGAAATTATACATCAATTATCGATGACATAAAGCATGTAGAAGAAAATAATCAGCAACCATAAATGAATTTATCACAATGAACAACATAACTATACAGATATTTAAAATTTAGAACAGTTAGTCCATTTCATGAATTTCGACAGAACAGTGAGGAGATCTGAAGAATGTGATGTATTTGTGTTATACATTTTGAACAATCTGCTCAAACATATACTTGTCAAGGCATTTTATATAAAGAATAATAAAAAAGGGTAATTGAAAAAAAAACACAAGCTGATAATTATTTGATTTTAAGATAGAGCCTTCGAGCCTTCTCCAGTTGGTTCCACCATGCCAAGCAGGTTGATTGGAGAACGGTGAGACTGAAAGCAGCTACGCAAAGTCTGGGGGCGAAGTCGGATTGCTGACTGCAGAGGGGTGTTTCGTTCTCTGAGAACGAAACACCACCACAATCATCCACCTGAGCTACAATTTTTCTCCACCATCTCAACATGAACTTATGCACTTATGTACGAAGTTCTACATTGTAACTGACTGACTGTAATGGAAAACACCAAGCTTATGATTCCGCATAAGCCTAGACATTGGTTGAGTGATTAGATCGCATTCCACTGCGTTTATCAGTTTACATGTTTGTATGGAGTCACATACATAAAGAGGAGTAATCGGGCATTACAATCAAGGATTATAGAACATGTGCATAAATGATTTTTAAGTCAGTTAATGCCAAATTACCTGATAAACGTGGGAAATAGAAAACCATGCTCATTATTAGCAAAGCACATGATCGAAACGGCGCATAGGATTGAATTCAGGGCAGCTTTTAAAACAATGTACAGCAATGTTTAAGGAAGAATTCTCAGGTTGTTTACTGAAGCCTTGGCTATTCTTAAATCCAAACCTCAAATATGTACAGAAACAATTTGTGATAACCTTGAGATTAACCAGGTAATCTTTACGCCATTTTATGGCCTTGGATTATGTGATAATTTCCTATTCCTAATTTTCTCTCTCCTTGACACTTACAATTATCACCTTGTTTATTTGACCTTTATTAAATTTCATATATAAAATGCCTTGACAAGATTGTTTCAGATGTATAGTGCAAATATATCTGAATAAACTTACTAAACGATAATAAACCAATTACTACTACTTAAAATAATATAAAAAGTGTACATAATACTATACATTAAGTAAGTAAATAATAAAAAATGCTCAAAAAGACCGATTTTCGTATGAGCATATTTTTGAACAAAGAGATGTATTTCATGAAAATGATACTTAATTATGGTTCAGATTACAAAATACACTAATCAAATAAATAAACAATCAATACATAAAATGATCACTGTTGACATATATCGAACAGTTGCGTGACACAGTGTATGTAGATGTTCATACTATGTTATAATGTACAAAATTCAATGATCATTGGGCAAAAGTGAAAGAATTAATCAAGGTGAAACAATAGAAATTGAGATGCTGTTTATAAAATTATCAAATAAACAATACTTACTGCTACATTGGAAGCAATTGTTCCACAACAAAAGAAATAAATACGTGTATTATTTTCCAATAAATTTGATGGTGAATAATAAGCCCATATATATGAACTGAATATCAAAAGTCCTAAAGGTATAAGAGGTTTGATGACACCACAAATTCCAAGACCACGATGCCATGGTTGTTTAATTGGACAAGTTCTTAAAATATTACACAATGTAACTGGTATATGAAGAAAATAAAGTGAATCTATTCAGTTCAAAAAGACAAAAAAATTAAAATAGCAATTAAATGAATTTATTAGAGGTTTATTATATTGAAAAAATAATTTTTAAAACAACCTATTAAAATAGATATTGGAACTATAAACATTTTTTTTACTGAAAAGAATATATACTTCTGCATTTATAAAGTTAATTAATAATTTGAACTTTTAATAAATGTGTACTTTGATTGTTTGGTAATTTAACTAAAATAAAATCAGCACATTTGATTTGAATATTTATTATGCTTTGTTAAATGATATCAGAGAAAAAAAAGTTTAGTGTGTTTTAATGATGAATAAAAGCTTAGAAAACATACTTTTATTAACGTATATTTTGTAACAACTCCGTCTGGAGTTCATCAAGGGTTACTACCGGTTCTATGCCCGGATAAAAGAGCAGGGCTAGGCATGGAGTTAGCAAACCCATCCCGTAAAAAATCCTGACCAGAAAGAAATTATTCAAACCAACTAAACAGTTGAGAGGAAATCAGGAAAAAGCATTGGACATGAGTTGGACACACATTGAGGGAAGCACTCAACTGTGTCATAAGGCATGCCCTCACTCGGAATCCTGATGGCCAAAAGAAAGGAGGAAGAAGAAAGAACACACTGTGCCTAGAATTGCAGACAGACAAAAATAGCAGTTGGGTATAACTGCAAATGATAGTGAAGGATAGAATTGGTCGATTACTGCTGGTCAGCGGCCTACAATCCATGAGGGGTGAAAGTAATGTTTGCACCACAAAATTTAACATCTTTACTCAAACAAAATATTTTACAATCAGTAATAAAAAGCACTAACTAGATGAGGTTTATGGGGTAAAAAAAATGCGAGAAACTTATTTGACACAATATTTTGATGATCTCTACAACCTCAATCTCTGTTGGTAGTAGTGTGAGTTTTTCTCGGTTAAGAAATATACTTTCACAGAATACTAATGAACGATTCTGTTAAGGCAATTAAGAAGGTAAAGTAATTCTAACGTATATATTAGAGCATAACGTAATTACTGAAATAAGTAACTTATAACGTGCACCAATGAGATAACAGTCAAATAACAGGTACACATTATTTGTCAAGATCCGGTTTTTTTTCTTTAAGTAGAACGAGATATATGGCTTTGGTTGAACATGTGTCTCAAGTTTTTAAAGGATATTAATGACAATAACGATAATTGCAGAAGCAATTAAACAACTTGAACCAAATTTGTATCCAGATAGAGACAGTAATCGATTTTACATTACTTAGATAAATTCAAAATTTTCATTGAAATTTAACAGTAATTATCGTTGTTACTACTACTATATTACTGTGTTTATTTTGTTATTGTCGCGTTATAAGCATCTTTTCCTTTTATTTGCTTTTCACTTACTTAATTCCTCAAACTTATGTAAACTCTTTACATCTTTTTCTATAATGATTATGTGTTCTATCTTGTCAATTTTAAATTCTAGGTAATTAACACGTCAATGCACTGTTTTCTGTAGCTACTTTCAGATAATCTGAAACTTATGTAAGCTCTTGAAATCTAGATCATCAGTCTCTGGTCCTCATGTAATGAATGCTTCATTTCTGTTGTGGAATTCCACCTTCAAACGCCATATATATATATAAATATAAATATATATATATATATATATATATATATATATATATATCATGCAAACTTGAATTAATAATTGTTTTTACACACACACAGAATGAATCATCTATTTATATAATAAATTGTACATCGACTTAATATGTATGGTTCATGCCTTTACCTCTGACCTTAAGTAATAGAATCATTATGTGAGCGCATTTCAGATTAAGTTTAGTTGGCGGCTTTATTAGCCTGAATAATTTTTACGTGAAATCAGAGTGCAGGCTAATCAGACGGATATAAGCACGACCTATGATATTGATATGTCCAATAGTAAACGTAATCAAGGCTTATTAGTTGACAAGCTGGAAAATTATTCGTAAGGTGACGATAACCACTTTTAATTTAATAAGGGTGTGATGTATTCAGAGCTCGTAACTTCAAGTTCTTAACATTGTTAACACTAAATTCAGTTTTTTTTGACATACAAGCAAATGTTATTACGTAGTAGAGAGTATCACTTAAGTTACACTTGCGTCTTCGACTAGTGATCCGATTACTGCGTTGATCCTAACCAGGAGATCGGTACCATTCGACATGAATTAAGTCAACAGTCAATAAATTGACAAACTACATCAATGTGTTTGGTTTGATCGCCCCTATCTTTCAAATTACTCATATTGTTATAAAATAGGTTAGATAATATCCTAAAGACTACAACCGATGAAAATGTATGGCTTTGTCAATTGATTTATCATTACTTACTTATCATTACTATCAACAGTGTAAGGCTGCATTTTAGTCGTTCAAAAAATACATCACATTTTCGAAAAATGATCTGTATTATTTTGGTTAAGACATTCAGATAATGTTATGAGAACTAAAATCAATATTTAGATTCAGGGCCAAGCATAAGAACATCCACTTGGCCAATTAGTTACACACAATACATTTTTCATTATGTCTTGATGATTTGCACCAGCATCTGATTCATGCATCACTAAATATACTAGAAATTAATCATAAATCTTAAGATATGGAATTCTGATTTTTAATTATTATTATCGATTAGAAAACCTAATTGACTCTTGTTTCAGCAGCTCAGAATTGTTTACACTAGAAATTTTCTACTGATAATGAATTCCTCATAGAATCATGAGGATTTTTCGAAGTATACATTGATAGTGAGTAATTGATCAAATCTAGATTCTACACAACAGCTACGCAACTAGCTATACACAATCAATCGCTAGAAATCAAGTTGAACATTCAAAAGATGTACATATTTTTAGGTTTGTGTGTAAAAATGGTCAAAATAAAATAAAAAATAAAAAGTTTGCGTAGGGTGAATGCTATATATAGAAAATACAAGGTCATACACACAGATCAGTGAGTGTACATGAATATTAACACTATGCTATTAAGCTGGTTCAATCTTGTATAAACATAATTCAGTTACTTGGTCTGACCACATTCCAAGACCAAAATGAATAATTATGTACAGTTGTCTTGATTTACGTCTCAGTATAAATAATTAAAGAAATTTATTCCCAGTAATACTTACAAAAAAGTATAAACTTGAAAATATTTGTCGCTGACCAACCAAATAAAAGTGGTTTCATAAAAACGGTAGGTGATAACCAATAGGCCAGTAGGAAGACTAGAGCAACAACCTAAAATTTGAAAAGACAATAATAATCGATAATAGAATATGCTTTTCGTAATGTTAAGTTCACATAATATGTATTATTTTTGTGGTAACTGGTCCAATTGAAGTGAACAAACAAATTGATGAACTGATTTTAATTTAAACGAATATCTACACGGTAAATAAACAGAATCTGAATTTAAGCGAAAAACCAATAATTTTTATTCTCAATTTAGTTAATTTTTCATATATGTAGTTACGGCAACTTCAATAACACTTGATTGATAGTTTAGTAAAAGGATTCGATATCGAATTACAGCAACGTGATTTAGTCTACGGAAATATTGAAATTGAATACTACATATTTTGAAAAAGAATTTATGGTCAGTAAAACTGACAAACCAGTTTTTGTAGTGGGATTTAAACGAAAGAGATAATTTTAGCGCGTTTATATGAATATGAATAAGTAAAGTTTAAAATGTACTGGTCACAGAAGAAGCACTAGTCGACGAAAGCCTAAATATCTATAACACTTCACGACTAATGCCGTAACATGAAAGGTAATCAGATTTAACTGAATCAGTACGTTTCGCAGAAAAATATCAAAACCAATCATCGGCTGGAAGCCTTACTAATCAAGTACGGGTACTCAACTTTTGACCATATTGTGTGAGGGTTATTGTCACAGTAGGCAGCTTGGATATCCGGATTACCTGTTTGTCCTGTTATTTAGATATTTTAAAAAGTTAGCTTCTCTTGCTTGTCTGATAATTGCACAATCTACTTAGGCGTTTATATAAGAAGTTTACGAACTACCACTGTACAATCAGAGACATCGCAGTAGCTGGCATTACACATTAAATGTCAGTCCCTGAACTGCTAACTTCCAACTGCCAATCACTAGTCGGTAGGGTGGACTACCTTAAATTCCTATTAAGTCTAAACATGTACTGTAATTGTGTTGTAATCGCAATTTAGGAATCCTGGTTGAATGGTTTATACGACGACTGTTTAATATCACTACATGGTTTAAATATTTGCTGTCAGGATCGATCAGGTGATACAAAAAATTGTGACTTTCGTCTTGCGGACCCCAATCAGGTAGCCTATATCTACCAACATACCTTAGTCTACTTGTCAGTGACTTTACAGATTTCTGCCATGTTTTGGTCTGGCCACCCCTAGCTTTTTTCTAACCCACTAATACAGCACAAAACTGATAAGTAAATTTGAACTGGACGTTGAAAGTGAATCGAAGTAGTAATTCATTTAAATTGTGTATTCAAATGGTGTATTGAAACAGGGATACGGAGTTTTTTCGTTGCGATTATAATTACATAGTAGGCAGATTGTCTTTGTGAGAGGCATATTTATAACAATAAGAGTAACATCTAATGAATCTGTTAATTTTTGACTAATTGTAGAATTTCAACTATCCACTAAGTAATAAAATGATACCTGTGAGTTATTTATTTTTAATATAGGATGGAGAAGAATCTTTTTTATGTACTTTAGGCAAACTGTACAAACGTAGAATAACGTATAGCAACGGTTTAAGTTATTCATACAGGTATCCACAGATAACTGGTTCACTTATGGATTTTAATTAATTTATGCTTGACTTGCTTCAAAGCACTTTTTCCAATTTTTCCTTTCAGAAATTAGTTAGTATAAAATAGGATGGAAGACGCTTTCTAAAGTGTAGTTTTTTTAATGCATGATAAAAATGCCAGTACCCTTATTTAGATCACTTAGCACGCAATCTTTGTTTTTTAAAAGATCAAGTAGTTTGAAGGTAGCAGTTTATTTACTGGCTTTGTTTGGGTACATTTTAGCTAATAACAATGTAAAGTTGTTATTTGGAGTTGTTTCAATTCTTCAATGTATACAAAAATTTGATGTTTCATCTGAAGGATTGGACAATATTTAAATTATTTTATCTTTAGAAAATTTATCAAATCATCTTCATCCTAATATGTTTCACTAGCCGATAGATTATTATACGACTTCTTTTCAATATTTGATTTTTATGAAAAATTTATGACACAATACGACTGAAAGTGTTTTCAAAACTATATAATATTTTTATTTCACTGGAGACTACTACTACTTTTATCAATAAACTAACTATATATGTGATTGTACTTAAGCAAACAAAATTGCCTTCACTGAATTATCTATTTTTTTTTCTCAATGATACAATGCGTTAGATTGGTTATTTCAAGTAGTTCCTTGAATAAGTTATTGCATAAACTGTGCATGGGCGTGTATGAGTTTACTCAAAAGCAAATGCAGCTAATACCACAAATAAATCAATCAAAATAAACATAATTGACGTTTAAAGATTGTCTCAAATCTTATGTTATGCCTTTTAAGCCGCAATAGAAATAATAGTAGCAGGTAAGTACATTACTTTTTTTGTTTTAGTAAGTAAACAGATATTGATTTTCAGTGTAGAAAAAATTGCATCAGGAGATTCATTTTCCATTAAAATGTACTTTTAGACCATGAATGTCATGAAAGCGCTGTTAAACAATGGTGTTGCAATGACTATTACAGTTAAATATTAACACATATTTGATTAGATGAAAAAAAAAAAACAGAAAAGAAAACGGAAACAATCACCAATAGGAAGATCAGATCATGTCAATCGATTTAATTAATTGTGAAATTGTGAGATAGACTCTCAGTTATACGTATATGCATACATCACTTACCATAAGTGTCAAGTGATTAAAATCCAGTAGTTAGTTGGCGGGGTTATACAATCTCAGACTGCGACTAATGAGATAATCAATATGAACAAAGTTGAAATTGTGCTACAGGAAATTAGTGTGAGCACTAATCAAGGAATTTCAATACATTTTTATGATAATTTGTGTTAATGACAAAAATAATCAGTCTAAATATTCTAATCAATTTTTATGGATATGTAATTGACAAACTCAATGAATTTTCGGCTGGTTAAACTGGGTCAACACTAAATAGCTTTATCTACAGAACTGGTGTTTTTACTCCGGTATATGGGGCAGAGGATAGAAGTTTTGTTCACAGTGTCGAAGTTATGGTAGCGAAATTATTAGCACAGTAAACCATGTTGCAAAATGGACGGAGTTCATTTAAAGATGTTTGATTTAATGCATTGTCAGTAAGACTTGAAGAAAGTGATAATTATTTAGCATATGCTTTAACTTGTTAACTGTAGGACACTCAGTAATAAATAAAAAGATGGAAGTTTATTAGTTAAAGCATTTGATTCCGAAAGTTCAAGTAACAGGACCGAGAACTTCAGCGTGGGAAACCAACTATTACACACGAAGGTATAAATTAATGACGCATACTCACCTTGTAAATCACAAACATATTACAAAGAAAAATATATGAAAACATACATATTACTTACTATTTGACTTGCATCAAACGTCCAGGGTAGAAATAAGGTACCCGTAATGTATTTTTCCCAATGAGAAAGCATAAAAGTCATAATTAATACCCACTGTCCCAAAAACATTTCTCTCACAGAATACATGTTACCTAGCAATGAGAACATTGATCCACAGAGAAAAAGACACACCCATGAATCGCATCCATGGTCAAATAATTCGCCAAGAGCAGATGATGACTTAGTTCGACGAGCTTGTTTTCCATCTGTACCATCTAAAGTAAACAGTTAACGTTCATTTTATAATGTGAAACGAACCTAAAGTATGAGCAATAAATACAAGGAAGGCGGTAACAAGCCAAACCCAATTAGGAACACCGAATGGTGAGAAGAAAGTGGGATTATAGTAACATAGTAGAAGATAGTGGGCCACAGTTAGAAGGAAGCCAGTGAATGTTATGAGATTTGGAGCTAACCAAACAGGATAAAACTATAAAAACATGTTAACGGATAGATAAATCATACTTTTGCCAACCAATCCCAGAAGGGATGCATAATGTATGTTGAGAAAGGTGAATTATCAACACACGAGTATTTATAATGCTTTAATCCAGATATCATTTCGTCAGTTAGTTGAGGCATTTTTCCAAAAATTTGTAATTTGCATCCAAAGTATTCAGTAAACTCAATCAATATCGAAGACTGAAATGAAAAACGTCAAAAATCATTACGAATGGAGATAGTGATAGAATAAAAAGATTTCATAGAATTAATAAAATGGAAAGCAGCATACGATTCAAGATAAAAGGGATAAGTTAGACTCTTGTTTGACCTTTTCCTTCTGTCATATGACAAATATCAACATCGTAAGGTGTAATATAGGAAGTAATAAGAAAGGATTGCCATATTTCATTTGTGATAGCTTGAAGTCCATATGAACTAGTAACCGGTGGTTTGACATACTTTCAGAAAGTTTAACTACTTTTGGTTAATTAATCTAACACTTTGGAAGCCTTCATTTTCAAACCTAGGATGGACTGAGAAAGGGTGAATGAGTGCATCTGCTGAAATCATAACTTTTAATTAGGTCAATATATAATTTTTCCCACAATCATTGTCATTGTTCCGGTCTATGAGAAAAGGCATGTTAAGGATTATGACACAGGGGGTTGAGAGTGAAGGAACTGATGTTATATCACTTATGGAGGAATAGTTGCGAGTAGTCTTAGTAATAGTACGGAAACTACTAGCATTCACTAACTGCTTGATGTAGGAATCGCATATAATGTGAAACGGTGCTTTGGTTCACACTATTGTTTACGTGTAACTACGATAAATTTTGACTTGGTTGGATGATTAGAAAATGTTACATATGCCACGCGATGATGCTTGAAATATCATGAAGACGCTAGAGTCAGACTAGTATTTGATGAAAAGTTTTTGAAGATTATGTCGTGTATGATGAGCCAACCAACTAGGTTGCCTCAAGGTGAGACAGGGTATTAAGTTCATATGGTACGTTGGCTATAAATACCTGCTTGGGCGACTGGGACAGATATTGCATATGATGATTAAGCCAAGTTCGTAGAATCATATCTAGTTGGAGTAAGCTCAATCAATCGTCTTGGTGCAGATACATTAATTCCTTGTGTACACCGGAATTCTAAGCCCTGATATTACTTTAAATTTCCTAGTCTGTAAATGTCTCTACTTCTATTATTAAAATGTATACTAAACATACTTATATCATGATGGCATTCGTTTTGTTAAGCTTTCTTTGCTGAGTTAATATAGTGTGAAACCTGAAACAATCGTGGCTAATCCCATATTGTTTGGAACTGACTGACTATTTAGGCCGACATCTTAATTGGGACGAAACGCGAAAACCATACATATTTCTTAATTATTTTCCAGAGCTTTGGACAGAATAATCAGGTTCATTTCTATTTTGTTGAGATTTCAGTCGCTGCTTAAACTAGGGGAGGAAATGTTTGTGATTCGTTAGGAGTCGCAATAACTGATTGTTTCACAACTTGTCCCAGGGCAGGGGATATTCTAGTTTTTCTTGGGATTTTCTCGATAGAAGTGTTTTGTAAACTGGGACCGCAGGGTACAATTATGATAATAACGAGAGACTCATTTGAATGCGACCAGCAATAAGTAACATGATACCAATGAGGTGTTTGTGGGGTTTTGATGAGAAAGCTCATTTATCACAGATTTATTCTATTTGGCACAGAACCGGAAAGTAAACGGTGTATCTAGTTGTTAAACATGTAAGCATAAACTATAACTACGATCACTTTATCTTAGTGGCTTGGTGAAAAGTCGTATTCATAATTTCCCGACCGAAGCTGCTACATTGACGTGGTGATCGGGCTTGCCTATCGTGATGACCCAATCGAGCTATATCGGCTGGAACAAATGTTCCTGAAGGTTCTACCATGCCAGGAAGATCGATTAGAGAACGATAAGACTAAAAGCAGCTACTCAAGGTCTGAGGGAGAAGTCGTACTGCTGACTGCAGAGGGGTGTGACAGCAATAAGGTGTTTCCCTCGGACAACCAGCATCTGTAGCGATGCTGCCTCCTCACAAGGAAGGAAGAGTTAGAAAAGGTCAACCCTGACAATGTCACACCTCACTCTACCTCACGGATTTCTGTCTCCGTCGGTATGAGTGTCCACTAAGGGCTTTCAAGAGCGGAGCTAATACTCAAAAAACTTCTCATGAAAAGGCCGTGCGTGACCGGCCTCAAGCAGTTGTCCCTTGGGCTCTGCCGTAACAGCATACGAGACCAAATCGGTCATAATCAAATCCTTCCAACACCCCTTAACATCTCTCTAATCTCCACGACTAACTCTTCTCACATTCCTTTATCACACCGCACAGCTAATGCAAACGATGCGAGTTCACGAAACGTCATCCTGGTCTCCTTAAACCTCGTTCTAAATTACATGTTGGAGCGCCTAATGTACGGACATTGTGTCAAATAGGGCAACAGGCTTCCTTAGTCAGGACATTAGAATCTCGCGCCATCGATGTATGCTGCGTCTCAGAAAGGCGCATACAAGATCCTAGTAAAACCATTAATTTGATTTCACCTTATCAAAATAAAGAAGCATCCCGATTTACTCTTCGGTAGCTCTGATGCGGCTTCCCGAGGTCTCGCTGGCGTAGGTATAGCATTGAGTCGTAGGGAAGAAGTATTTCTCCTAGACTGGATCCCTGTAGATAATCGCTTGTGCGCTGTCCGACTGAACGGAACAGTATAGACCCGGAAAGATAGGGACACTCGTCGTATCTGTCTATGTCCCCACTGACTGCAGTTTAGACGAGGTGAAAGATGAGTTTTACAGATAGCTTACGGACCTCCTCAAAAAAGTTAGGCGCTCTGATGTAGTAATAATGGCTGTCGACTTTAATTCTCAAGTAGACTAAGTGAGCCGGAGTGACACGTGGGTGGATCTTATGGTGTCGCGGCTCAGAGAATGGACAATGGCGACCGACTGTTGCAACTGTGCTCAGATAACCGCCTATTCTTAGCAAACACTAACTTTAGGCATAAGGAAAAACATCTTTTGACCTGGCGACCCCCGAAGTCGTCTCAATGTTGAACCCAACTAGATCACATCGCCATACGCCACCGATGTAGATGTTCGATAGAGGACTGTCGCTCGTTCTGGGGCACATGTTTAGATTCAGATCATGCCCTAGTGCGAGCTCGTCTTTGTTTGAGGCTTACTGGGCGTAGGAAAGACACCGCAAGGAAGCCTCTTAGGGTTTTACTTAATGATAATAAAGCTAAGAATATATTTCAGGAGCAACTAGAAAAAGAGTTAGGCAACCATGTAAGCGATTCCCATCCCGAAGCAGGTTGGTATGATATCAAAAAGGCTGTGGAAACAGCAGTGATATCTGCTAGTAAGGAAAACCATAAGGCTAGAATGAAGCCGTGGATCTCAGTAGTATCCACCGAACTCATCCCACCTAGCTCTGAACATGGTAAACAAAGAAGTCAGCTTCGGCGCAGACTGATAAAAAGCCTACGCAACGACCGTGAACAGTGGTGGGTGGCGAAACCAAGAGAGATAGGCAACAGTAGACAACTTTTCCGACTTATCAAGGAAATTGGTATTAGAAATCCTACTGTAAGTGAGAAAATCTCGGAAAACGATGGGACTATGATTTATTCTCAATCCAGGAGATCGGATTGATGGGCAGAACACTTTAGGGATCAGTTCAACTGGCCTTAAGCCACACTTCCGTTGCCCGCGATCTCCATTCGTCCTCAATGACAAGTCGACGTAAGTCCTACGAACCTTTACGAAGTTGAAAAGGCTATAGGAAATCTGAAGCGAGAGAGAGCAGCATGACCCGATATATTGAGCCCTGAGATTTTTAAGGATGGTAATACAGTTTTAGCAGCTAGATTGACTGAAATCTTAGGTAGAATTCGGGAACTGGACACAATCCCATACGACTGGTCTCAATCACTGATTGTCCCAATCTATAAGAAAGGACAAAAGTCTTCTTGTGACAATCACAGGGGAATAAGTCTAACTAATATTGTTTCTAAAATATTGTCCTCAATAATACTTCTACGCTTAGCGAAAGCTCGTGAAGAGCAGACTAGAGAAAACCAGGCTGGTTTCAGACCTGAACGTGGATGTATAGACCATATCTTCACACTACGACAGGTCTTGGAACACAGACATACATTTAGGCGTCCGACAATAGATGTCTTCTTGGACCTTAAGGCGGAATTTGACTCTGTCGATCGTGAGGTTCTGTAGCAGTATCTGTCATTGAAAGGTGTACCACGGGAATACAACAACCTTATACAAGCTCTCTACTCTAAAACTAATGGTCGGGTGAGAGCTTATGGCGAACTGTCATCGGAATTGATTACTTCAAGTGGTGTCTGCTAGGGATGTTCACTTTTCCCATTCTTGTTTAATTTTGTCATAGACATGATGCTAGACATAACATTATCTTCGTCCGACTTTTCAGGAGTCGACTTTCTACCAGGAAAATCGCCTGCTGACCTAGGATGTGCCGATGACATAGTTCTATTCGGTGAAGACGCTGACAAAATGCCGAGTCTTATGACTACCCTAGGCAACAATGCAAGCATGTTCGGAATGCGGTTTTCCCCCTCGAAATGCTAAGTGTTGCTTCAGGATTGGCTTGCGACTTCACCGGAACTAGTGATAGGGAGTGAAGTAGTCGGACATGTAGACCGCTTCATTTATCTGGGGAGTCTCATCAGTGATGATGACCTGGTGTGTAACGAAATCTCTGCATGGATACAGAAGGCTCGATTGGCTATTGCTAACCTGCGTCACCTATAGCGAAGTCGAGATGTCCGCTTGCTAACCAAAGGACGAGTGTACCGTTCAGCAGTTCGCTCCGTCCTACAATATGGATCCGAAACATGGCCGGTAGAAGTAGAGGACTTTCGTAGATTACTAGTCTTTGATCATCGATGTCTCTGAAGCATTGCTCGTGTATCCTGAGACAACCGTATAAGCAATTCTGTCGTTAGGAAACGAGTTCTAGGTAGGGATGGCAAATGAATAGATGAAGTAGTGAAACTTCATCAGTTGAGGTGGTTGGGTCATGAGTTACGTATGGCTAACCACCGACTGCCGCGACGAGTTGTTTTGTGGTGTAGGAGTAGGTTGGAAGAAAGTTAGGGCGGCAAGACCAAAACAAGGCAGAAATCCATGAAGTCACTGACAAGTGAACTGAGTCATGTTGGTAGATGTGGGCTATCTGGTTGGGGTCCGCGAGACGATAGTCACCGATGGTTAGAGACCTTGAATGACGTGGCTCAGAATCGTTTGCAGGTGCAGGTGCATCCACTCTTTATGTGCTTTTAATTCGAACCTTCTGAATTCCTCATAATCTCTATCTTTCTCCTTCTAAATTTATCTTACTGAATTATACTTCTTGAACCATATCTTCGCTCCCTTATCTGCATTACTGTTAATACTTCTACTATCGTTATCACAACGGGATTTGAACTGACAGTTGCGTCTCTGTGATGATGTGGTGTGGTAACCTGAACTGGTGCACTTACGTACGAAGTTCTGCGTTGTATCTGTCTGTCTCGTATTCTTAATGTGGCATAGGATGTCCAGTTTACAACTCAATAAGTACTTCGCCAAAATATTTGAAAACTCTAAGACAGAATTATGAAGTATTTGGCGTGCATATATCGATAACTTTCATGAATAAATACATTCCAACGGAAAGGTTAAAACCGTAGACCTTTATGATGCACAAATGAATGCTCACAGATACTCACCAGATCCTAGGTTGTAGTAAGTGTTTTATGAGAGATGTTTAGCCAAGTGCTTTTACCAATTTAACACCAAGAATAGTGCACAAAGAGTATTATATTCCTTAATGAACTGTTTCTCTGACTACTAAATCACTTCCATACACTAAATTCTTTCTTTCTACTCACTATTCCTTCCCGATCTCTTCCAAATCTAATTTTTACGGTGGTGCATATGTTTTGATGCCTGTTCGTGCTAATACTTATGACTAAGTGAGTGAATAAGCACAATATCGATTCCTTTAAATCAATGGATAAATTTTGACGACCAACGATTGTTAGTGTGCCATGAGTCACTAATAGTTCGGTAAGCTTGGTGGTAAAATTAGTCTGCAGGTGACGACATCGGATCCCACAAGTGTTTCTTCGAGACTTAATGCGGCACTTACCGTCAAGAACTAACCATAATGGAAACAAGGTTCAGGGTTTTTTATAGGCGCCCTTTAACTAACGAACATAGACCATTATTTTAATGGACGGTTTTTACATTGAGATAAAAGTAAAAACTGTGAAGGGCGATGAAAACAAATACTTGGCAAGTGTTAACTAAAACAAACGAGGATATTCTTAAAATAGGGACGTTTATTTATCTCATAAAGTTAGCGTCTACTTAATTCCTTCGTAAGTTGGAGTTCGGACACTGTAACAGTCGGTTATATTTGTCCCAATATGGGGTATAATAACCAAGACTGATTAGCCCTTCATCTCCCTGTACTCAACCATATCAGAATGAAGTGATATGAAGAGTGGTAGATTTTGAATACTAATTGATAGTCACTGGGATAATTCCAGGAAGTGTATTAGCGTAGTAGATAACTTTGATTACACGTAAACAAAAATGAGAAATTCAGTCCAAAACAATGAGTTATGGCGATATTTTGCCATTAACTCACTAAAGACAAAAACTGCGACAACCCCTACCTACACAAATATCCTGAGCGGCACGCTCCGGCGAAACTGAAGTTACGCCCTCAGATTGTGACCTTGGTTTGCAGCATTTAAAAACTTTTGAATATCCTATATTTTTGGTGTAAATCTACTGATTTTTTGAGCTCGAGGAGCATGGTTGTGATGTTTTTGGCAATACGCTCATTTTGAGATGATTTAGCTTACTTGATATGTTTTGCGCTATAATCAGAGCACCTTTGATTCTCCTGTAACTCAGAGAGAATAATCCCAAGTGTTGATCTAATTTCGTCTATTAGATCGTCAATGATTATCAAGGAAATGAGTGAACCTAAGATGATCCCCTGTGAGACTCCAGGTATCGAGACTTGTCAGCTCGCGTGCACTTTGTTTACATTGATGTGAAACTTTGTATTCTAAAGTTACTTTCTTGGCCAAGATAGGAGTGTGTCAGTGAAGCCCTCTTCCCCAAACTTCAAAAGTAAGGGTACGTGGGTACAGTGTTGAATGCTTTTACAAAGTCAGTAAAAATTAAGTGAACCGGTCTCAGCAAGTTGTCCAGGTGAATTCGATGCTGTGAGATTGGATGCGCACGTCCTATGTGTCCGAAACCCGTGTTGATCTTCATGGATGGGAGTTAGTGTGACTTCAGTGAGTACCTGGATAGGTCACAGGTCGGTGAACTGAAGGCTTCTGATCACTGTTTCAAGACCATAGAGAAAATACTGTCATATTCTGGTGGCAGTTTTCTGAGTACCAAGTTAGGAGAAAGTTGGATGTTACCTAGGCCGTTAGTTGGCATTAGGTATAAGTTGTGCTCTGAACTTGTAGGTACTTGGTTCCACCTATCAGTGAGGTTATTTTTGAACATCTCAGCCATCTTTAGGTTAGGCCGTTTGAACCTTACACGGCACGAACACCCTAGTTCTTAGGTTTTCTTCGGTCACGAACCTAAACTGATATTTGGGTTCGCCTGTATTTTGGCAGTTAGCTTCATCTGGAAGTGTCTCCTATTCTTTCGAACCTTGGCATTACATCTGTTTTCACTGCCACGTAAGAACTATGATTAGAATCTTTCAGAGGGACCTTCCACAAGTGCTAGGCTCTCCTTTTCTCCTGAGACAGATGTTCACTGCCTCACTTAGTTCGAGTTCTACTCTTTCCCAGTGAGCTTTGTGCTTGAGGTTAATTGTTTAGGACAGCATCCTGAATGATGTCCATTAACTGTTCGTCTCCACTATTTCCATGGCCACAGGGATATAGTAGATGCTCTCTCATACGCAGGTCATTTGCAGAGATAGGGCTTGTTTTCATCCTCTCTGACTGCTTCTATCATGACCATGTTAAACGAGACTGTGCCATTGTCATCACTTCCTATTGGTGAGTGGACGTGAACATCTGCGGCCAGAGGCTGACAGTTTGCTTAGAGATAATCCACGTTTGTGGATTTTTCATCCTAGGACTATCTAGTGGCGCAGCATACATGTTCAGTCAATCAGGAACTTTTTATGGCTGAGCCAGGATGCCTGTGGAACGGACCTGTATCAGTTGTACACTGTTTACTGAAAGTAAGAGATAGTGTTGAAATCTTAATGCCTAATGCTTGATGGGGATCTGTAAATCCCTCTAATTAATTATTTTGTACCGTTCGTGTTGAAGCAACACCAGCATGATTCAGGCACATCGGTTAGTTGGGTACCGTGCACTCGTTCGACTTTGAAATTATTGATAACAGATATATAGCCACCCCACCTCTCGTCTTGTGTACTATATCTCATTGAAAGTTTGATGACTTGCAAGCTCATTCCACTGCCTTCAATGCCAAGAGATTGCCATGCTTTAGTTAGGATCATGAACATCAGATCCATGTGAGAGCAAATATTTCTGAACTTTTCCACCTCACCCGTTAGTCCACTTACGTCGTTATAGAGGCATTTAGTGTTTTATCTAATCAACTGGTGCACCTCTGCAGCACCAGATTTTTTCGGATTTTTTTAACACGATTTGCAAACCGAGTTGACCAGTCCTGTGAGGACTGGCGGAGGGTTATTGTCCAAGGTCGACAGACATTAGCTTGTGCTTATTTTAGCCTCCCTATTGTTGTCTAACAGATCTAGCTCGCAACATCTAATGTAACTAGAAAGATCGTTCTTCATACTGTTCCAAGCGTGAAGCGCCTCAGTTAGTTCTTCCTGGTTTCTGAAGTCCGAAGCCAACAGACGTGGAGTCTTAAGCTGTCCCGGACGAAGCAGCTGGAAAACTGTTATTTCCGTAGTTGTGTTAAGGCCCATGCTCATGATAGCCATTGTGATTATTGTATGTTATGTGCATAAACTTCATCCAAAGTGCCACTAACCAGATCGGGCACACACACTATCATAAAGTTTTCCCATTGGGCGCCTTCAGATGTCCTGGCAGCTGCTCTTAGTGACTACGATTTGTCGTGTCTGACTCGGGTTGTGAAGGCAAGTTTGACCGAGGGCCTTTGAGATGTCAGGAGGATTTTTTTGGCTAATTGTGCCAAGTCTAAGTTAACCCTCAGTCGAGTAGAAAATAATGGAAAATCAGTGGCCAAGGGACTTCCGAAGAAACTCGAATTTAGCAGTGAATTGTTATAACTCATGTAAATGAGGACTTTCCAGCCCTCAAGACAGAGCTTAAATGGTTTTAGTTAGCTTTCTGGTGACTGTCTTTTAGCAAACTAGTTTTGTGCAAGTGAAGCTGCTAGCCCTGTACCAAACTTTCCTCCTTTATTTGGGTTTTTGTCCGGTGGTAACCCTAGAGGGGCTTCGATACTGAAGTGGCAGTCAAATAAACTGGTCACTCTGCGTTCACTCTGCAAGTGATTAACAGATCAGGTTACCAGAAGTTAGATTTGTGAGTAAATCAAACCAGGCTGCTAAATATGGAATTCCAAAATTTCAAGTTAAATAGACCACACTCTGTAAGAGCGGCATAAACTGCAGGGATTACCGATTTTTACCAATAAAAATTTTTCGGTCGTTGGACGTATAAAAAATTCAATAGCTGCAAAAGTACTAAAACTCAAATCCATGCTGGTGAAAATTACTTCAGAATTATAAATATTTACTTATTCAGTGTAAGGAAGAGTAAAGTACGGAAGCCATTTATATGGTCTTCAAATCAGTATCACTGAACTCAACAAGAACTACGTGAGCACATGTGACAATATTGTGTTTCGAATTCGAATTAAATGTGAAATTGTGTACAAAGTAATCGATTTCGAATATAATTATCATATTTAAATCATAGCATGGCAATAAAATGACTTCAGCTTTCCGACTGGAATGAGAAATTTTGCATTATCAGTGCCAACAATAAAAACATGGAAAGGGTCATCTAATCATTTTTGAATGTGAAGCGATTCACTCTATAAACTAAGGTTTCATGTGATTATTAAAATTACTAAGCTTAGCAAGATTCAGATTGCAGGGTTTATCAACACTAATGATGAAATGAACAAGGCTTCTACGCAGATATTCGACCTGTCTAATTCTGACACACTTGAAGCACTTAACATGACGAAATACATACGGATGTAATGTACACAGGCAACGCTGTTGTCCGTAACACATTAACCTCAGTTAAACCGCTTGTCTGGAATAAAAGGATTCGAAGTTTATTTAAGAAGATAGTTAATGTCTCCAAAAGTATACGATTTAAGTTGAATGGCTTTTTTGAGGGATGAATATCGTGGCGTACCTGATGGGGATTGGGTGTGGATGCTTGACTGAGTTCCTTCATATTGGATATGTCTACTAAAGCTAATCAGGTAGGCATTACTGTCAAAGGCTTACAAAACCATTTACCTCTAGATACATATGAAGTACTTGAATGAAGTTTACTACACAACAGACATTTGACAGGATTTTTCTCTCGCTTGTAAACTGTTCTGCTATTCTTTAGCTAATCGTTTCTCATACTTTGAAGACAGTGGGAATCACTATCAACCGAACGCAAGCTTGAGAGACCTCGAGAATGCGACTCATCATGATGACTGAGCAAAGTCTTAGAACCTTTTACTGACAGGAAATCAAGCTCACTAGCTCCCTGATAGCTAGTACATCATGTTTTAATTTCTTGCAAGTAATTTTCGGGTTTTTGAATTAATCCACTATTAATAACAACTATTATCGACCCATTGTCGAGATACTTTGTACTACATTTTGTCCCTACATTACACTTTATTACGAATATGGTTGAAAGCAGTTGAAATGAAAGACAAAATATACTGAACTCATATTATTTTGCTTCAATTGATGCTTCAGCTTTATATATGTTTAACGTAAAATCGTTACTTTCCAATTACATACTATAAAGCAAAGCAAAACCTGAAGAAGTGAAACTAATTAATCCGTTATCGAAATATGGTAGTGGTTGGTGCGCTTTTGACCTTAATAACGATAGTAATAGCAGACACTCTATTCTTAGGGGATAAGTGGACATGCGTTTTAAGGGTTGACACTTATACACAAGGTCTTGGACAAGAGTGTGAATTAAAGTAACGCGTAGTGTCATCTAAACAAATTAAAGCAGTTCAGCAAATAAAATTTCCTTTTAGACGATATCACTTATTGAAGTTAACTTAGTAATAAAATGGTCTGTTTAAAGAATAAAAAGACGATTACATCATATGAGATGTCAAAAAATGTCGCTAAGCTTTCGGGAAGTGAAGATATGTAATCGGTTAAAATCAGATGTGATAAAGATGTTTGTCCACTTATCGAGCAAAAAAAGGATGAAGATTAAACTGAAACGTAAAGGTGATAATAATTCATAATTAAAATTATGAAGATTAAAAGTTTTAGAACGACATGATAAAATCAACTACCGTCAATCAAAATAAATTGTGTTAGCGCCGAAGAAGAATGATGGCTTGCACGTGTCTTTTGTAAACATATAGAGTATAGCTTCAAATGTGTTACACGTAGTTTAGGTTTAAAATATTTGATTACGAACGCCTCTGCATTGTTCACCCATCGAACCACCTCATCTGAGTACACATTGACGTGGCCCAATGTAGAAGTTTTTCACGAATGATTGAGCAACTTGGA